GAGGGGTCGCTGGGCTCCCACTTCCCGCTCACGTTCTTCGCACCAAGGTACCCAGTTCTCACCGGCAGGTGCTGTGGGTGAAAGTGTGCCCCCCAAGTTCTCAGGCTCAAGTCCTCCCCCAGCACCTGCGGAGGTGACCTCGGTTGGAAGGAGGGTCATGATGGATGACCTGGTCTAGACGAGGCGTCAGGATGGGCTCTGACCCCTGGACTGGTGCCTCTGAAAGGGGAGAGGGGGCCGCCCGCACAGGAAGAGGCCGTGTGGAGACTGGGTGACGCTGCTGTCCCCCAAGGAACCACCGGGGGCTGTGGGAAGCCTGGGCCATCCTCCAGCACCTTTGGAGGCCCACGGCCCTGAACTTCAGCCCAAAGGGCCACAGATAGCACCGTTGACCCCTCACAGTGAAAGGGTGACGTGCCAACCACCCTCAAGGTTGACCATCCCAGTAGTCGGCCTCCACAAGAGAGGACGCTCATGCCAGCCACTAAGAGAGGGAAGGTGGGTGAGAAGAAGGGATAGAGAAAGAGAAGATAATTGAACAGAAGGTTGGGTAGTTAGCTGGGTGAGTGGGTGGATAAGTGGATGGGTGAGGGGATGGATGAAAGGGTGAGTGGGTGAGTGGGTGAATAGGTGAGTGAGTGGATGGCTGGGTGGGTAGACGGATAAATAGGTGGGTGGGTGGAAGGGTGATGGATGAAAGGATTTGTGAAGGAGTGGGTGGGTGGGTGGGTGAGTGGGTGGATGGATGATGGGTGGATGGATGAATAAGTGGGCGCATGGACAGATGACTCATGAGTAGATAGATGGTGGATGAAAGAATGGATGGGAGGGAGGTGATACAAGCTCCATCTTAGAGATTTAAAAGGCCAGGCGACCGGGAAGAGCTCAGGGCTTTGGGTTCCTCTGGAAACCACTGGGCACAGACAGAGGCAGAAGATGTGGGCGCACCGTGGCCCTGGACGGGCAGGGCTCCTTGCATGCGTACACACACACACACACACACACACACACACACCACTCTCTCTTGCGATGGCAGTGCCCATCTTGCCATCCGCAGTTGCCTGTCCCTTCGGTTGCCGGCGGCCACCGGACCAGGCCCCCAGCA